GCTAACTGCTGGTCCCCAGGACATGGTAGATGATATTTTAAATTGTGCATTCTACAATCTTTTGAGTGAAATCTGCAATGGGAGAGTAAAAGCATGTCCCTTTAATGAATATGAGCTAGAAATGCAATATAAATATTAACAAACTGTTCAATAACAGAAATAGCTGAGAATAGCATAAAATTAGTATTATTCATTTAGATTTACAACTTGGTATTAGACAGCCTCTATTTGCCTTTTGAAGTAATATTTTATTCAAAGTTAAACATTGATAGTTTAGAAAGTTAAATTACATTATAAGACTTAAAAAGAACAGCAGCAGCCTTCTGCTAATTCCTTCCTGCTACATTTTCTTAACCCTTTGAGATACCACTCCCGATTGTTTAAGTTATGTCTATTATTTCCCTTAATATTTTTTAAAAAAGTTTATCCATCTTTTTTCATGAGTGAGAAAGACAAAGTGAGGTAGAGAAATAAACTGGCACCTCCAACAGGGCCTTTACACTGTTATTCATTCCCAGCTTCACGCAGTCCTGTGTCATGGACACATGTGCCCAGTGTGTTCAGGGAGGTCTCTGGACACAAACCCAGAAATTTTCCATGAGTCAGCCTTGTGGAGGATTGTATTACTGCTGAGTCACTTATAGCTCTTACTTTAACATTTTAATTGCTGCTTATACTGTTCTTAATTTTTTCTTACTGGAAATTATCTAATGGCTTCCTATTATAGAAGGTACAAATTTTGCTCTCTTCCATCTCTTACTTTTACTTCTCTGTTCACACTTTTGCCATCCTTTCCATGTATTTTTTTTAAGAGAGATTTTTGCTCTAGGGTGCATGTACTTACTGTAGAGATGAAGAGAGACAGAGAGACAGAAAGTGAGAAATCACCTCCCAGGGGGGATGGCCACATCACAATCCCTTCTCTGTTCTCCTCTTGGGACTGTGAGCACACATGTGTATGTGCCCGGTGTGAGTTTCAAGCCACTGGGTCAGGGACTTGAACTGTGATGGACTATATGGGAATCTAGCAACATAACCATTACTCCACCTGCTGGTCTCTCAATGTATTTTTTTAAATAAATTGTTTTGGTATGTTTTCTTGGTTAAATTCCATGTTTAGTATGATTGTTCAAATATAACACACTGCTAAGCCCCAGTGAATTGTGATCACATTTCCCTCTTTTACGACTGTTCATTTTCCCAACAAATCACTTCTTGTCAGATTTAGTTCTCTATGCACTTACCATTAAATTTATGCCCAAATTCGCCACAGGACATCAGATAACCTTTCATCTTTCAGTACATTCACAAACACCAAGTGTGTTGGCCGTGAAGATGTACTGCTCAGATATCCTTTGAGAGTCTCTGCTGTAGACAAAACTGGGCTTTCTTCAGTTGCTGCTCTTATGAATGCTTAGGCCATACTGCTCTGGGTTGCCCCTAACCAATAACTGAGCATGGCAGAGGCATGAGAGCCTATTCCTGCCTTAATACTTAAGGAGCAACTGTTGCTTGGGGACTCGCCTCCCCACTGGCCTAGATGCAGCTTTCTTAGAACTGTGCTATGGTCTGGGGATTTCCTGCTCAATCCTTCCTTCCCTCTCTCCTTTTATAGTGGTCTTTTTTGAAACAAAGTCTGAAGACTTTTTGCCTCATCCTAGTTCAGTTCCCTTTATCCTTCACAGATATTTCCCCCAATAAATCTTTTGCATGCCGAATCTTATCTTGGCACCTGCTTCTCAAGGACATAAATGGACACAGGATTACTGGGAGGGGTCTGAGGAAACAGGTACATTTTAGAATAGTATTTGGGACACCAGACTGCCAGAGGACTTATTATTGCTAAGTTATATATCAGTGTCTTCAAAGGATAATGGAAAACTGAAGTAGTTGACAGATACTTAAGAATAAATGTGAGTGCCATAGGGACTTTTTTGGTAGCTTACCAGTAAGTCCTGTTCTTCTACAGTGGAGAAACATACACATAATTTTGTAATTGAAGTCACAAAACCTCAGAGACATTTTGATACTCACCTAAGCCAGGGTCCCCTGACTCTGACACATGGGATGGAGATATCTATGAAAATATCTGTGAGGACTTTTGGCACTATAGATTTCCTGAGCAATCAGAACTTCTAGAGATGTTTCTTTTCTCCTCAGCAAGGACTAGTGTTTCCCCTTGTTGGAAGATGCTGCAAAGGCCTCTCCCCACAAATGTCCTCTCATGAATGCTTCATCTGCTCTCCTGGTTGTCAAACTGATAACCAGAACTAAATTCCAAGGCAACTTTGGTGGATATGCTGGGCCCAATAAGAGAAGAAAGAAACCACACAGCAAAGGAATGGCAAGAATTAGAATGTACTAGCAGGAGCCAGAGAAGTATACTTGTGATAGAGTCTCTTAAAAGATAATTTATTTCTTCCATGAGTGGGACAGAGAGGGAGAGGGAGAGGCAGAGGGAGGGAGAGAGAGAGAGAGACAGAGAGTACTCCCAATAGGATTCAATTTTACTATTCATCTTTAGCCTTCAGCCAGCTCCAGATGATGGGCAAGCTTCTACCTGTATACTCAGAGAGTTCTCTAGACTTGAAGCAGGAACCTTCCTGTGTGGGATTGCCTCATGATTTTCACATTTCACCTCTGCACCACCATCTGGCCGCACTTGTGATTGGATTCTGTGGAAGCTTGATCAAGGAGGATCAGAATAAAACTGTATAAACAAAAATAAATTGATTTGGGGGACCAGCAGTTAGTGTAATGGCTATGTTGCTGGACTTCCACGTAGTTGACCGTGGTTCGTGTCCTGGACCCGGTGGCTTAACAGTCACGCGTGTGCGTGTGTGCCCAAGATCCTGAGAGGAGAATGGAGGAAAAGGGATTGTGGCATGGCCATCCCCCCTCGGGGGTGATTTCCTGCTTTCTATCTCTCTGTCTCTCTCTGTCTGTCTGGCGAGTACACGCACCCTATAGCAAAAACCTTTCCAAAAATAAGAAAAAAAAATTGATTTAGGAGTACTTTTCTGGGATATAGGCTCACACTTTGGCAAGGGCCCAGGCAATGGAAAAAACTTGCTGTTAGGGTGGGTCTTTGAAACGTGGAGAAACTATCTGAGTGAAGTGGAAATGGCATACAGTATACTTGAATTCTTCCTTACTTTGCCTTTTCTTTTTATAAAGAGAGATTTTTGCTTTAGACATATAATCAACAGAGAGACAGAGAGACAGAGAGACAGAAAGTAAGAAATCACCCGCCAGAGGGGGTGGCCACACTGCAATCCCTTTACCTCCATTCTCCTTTTAGGCACATGGGCATGCACATGAGTCATGCACATGGGCATGCACATGGGCATGCACATGCCCATGTGCCTAGCATGAATTTCAAGCCACCAGGTCCAGGACTTGAACTGTGTTGGCCATGTGGGAGTCCAGCGATGTAACCATTATGCCATCTACTGGTCTCATTTTGCCTTTTAGTTGTATTCAGACACTGGTTGAAAAAGGCCCACTCCACATAGGGAAGGCAATGTGTTTACTCAGTTTACCAATAACTGTTACTTTAATCTAGAAGCATCCTCACTAACACACCCAGAATAATATTTAACTAAATATCAGGGCATTCTAGTCAAATTTTCACATCAAGTGAACTATCACAAAGTTCATGTCCCTAAAGGATGGACACAATTGTTAAGGGACACAGTAAAGTTCCCCCTGAATTATAAGCTAGAGCTACTACTGGGCCACTTTGTATTCCCTTTGTCTAGGGACCAGAAAGTAAGAAGAGTTACCATACCGACAGGGGTGATGAGCAAGAAAAGGCAGGGCTGCCCATCCACAGTAGAAATAGGGAGCAGCACAGGGAAAACCAAGTGATCCTCCAGACCTTCTGTTTCCCAATGTAGCTTAGTGGGCTCATGTAGCAGTGCTAGTCTGAAAAGGCTATGATTAGAAAGGACTCAGGCTCCTCAAAACTGAATGTTGGGGTCAAACCGTCAGCTCAACCTTAAGACTTTTTTAGGTGACAGAAAGAGGAAGAAAGCACCAATGGGGTGTGATCATTCCACAATCCCTTATCTTCCATTTCTCCATCCTGTTGGGATTTTGGGCATGCATGTACATGTACCTGCTGTGTTTTTCGACCTGCTGGGGCTGGAATTCAAACTCCACTCAGCCATGTGGGATCTGGCTTGCTTAACCACTGGGTTATGGGGCAACCCTACTTCTACTATTTAAACCTATGACATTTACCCTGAGAAATAGCCAGTAATACTTCTATTTTACGGGGAAAAGATGGTATGTTATTACTCAATTCATTCCTTTACTCATTTAACTGAATTATGTGTTCTTAGCACAGTAAGTAAATATATCATAATGCAAACTAAGAGCTGTCTAATTTTAAAGCCTAGTCACTTTATAGAACATCGATAAAAATGACCTAAGATTGCAAACACGTTGGCCCTTTGAGCCCAATACGGGGTTCATCTAAGTCTGAAGAGACAAGGAACTATTGCATAACAATAAATTATCTCAAAGTTCTTTAAATTATTCCAAATGCATTAAAATTAGCAATGATGAGTCTGAAAGCTGAACTTCAACTTAATTTTCTATCATAATTAAGGTAGATTAGTATCTTGTTTTTTTTTTAATGTAATTTTTCTTCTTGTATAGTTAAAAGCAACATCTTGAAGGTAACATCTTTTTGGTAAAATTACTATTAATTCATAATTTAAAATATCTCATTTGGGCTGCAGTTTACACTGACACTTCAAAGAAATAGTTTAATATTCAATATTATGATTTATACAAAATTGGAAGCTGTGAATGTGAGGAGTGGTTGTATTTAACTCATCATTTTTAAAATGGTATTTTATTGGTGGAAGTATATATCTTTGTTAATCATGTCAGTTATTTATTGAAAGCACAGTCAAATGATATTTACTTGGACAAACTTATTAGGGTTATAGTACATGATTTCTTCTATTTTTTTTTTTTGTTGTTGTTAGTTACAAGTGGAGAGAAACGAACATTATTGGCTCCCTTGTGCATGTGTCACTTCTGTGTGAAAAATGAAATACTAAAGCACATCCAAAACTACAGTAAAAAGCAGCATTACAGTCATGAGAGTAAGTGCTATTCCACAGAGGTTACTATAATACTGAAGCATCATTCATAGCACTATTTTGGTTAACAAGACTGAGATCTCCCAAAGCAATTTTTATCTTTGAACAAATATTGAGATGGATCAGCAGAGTGAAATACTCATCTAGGTCTTGGAAAGAGGGGTGAATTATTCTGAGCAAATTCTGGTGAGTTTAATGACTCTTTGAGAACATATAGGCACTTAAGTCTCTGGAGTCTACACTTAGTTAATTCACAAGTGTGAAAATTTCTAGCCTAGTTAAAAGGCGGAAATTATGCAAGGCTTTTAGAAGGCAATTTCCATATGAGAGGAGCACTGGAAACCAGACAGGGCATAGCAATGTCATATAATAACTTTTATTTTGCTATGGTGGAATAGTTTATTCATTCCACAAGAAGATGGAACAAAAGTGACTTTCTAGAAATCCCTTTACCTTTTAGGAGGAGAAGTGATAAACAGGGCAGGATTCTTCATTTTAACGTTCTTTGAAGTAGTTATGATTCTTGGTTCAGGAAAGTCTTTTCCTAATAACTAGACATAAAGAGGTTGGGAAAATGTCATGTGACTCAAGAGAAAAATGTAAGATATTCATTTACTTAAACAACTAGCATTAGATTTAACATACACATGTATATTTTCACTAATGTTTGAAGAGATGGTTTAGCAAGTGCAAGATTTTCTCTTGTTTCTCAGTATATTTCACTTCCATGTTATTCAAATTTTGTTCCTATTGTACTATTCCTGGGTTTCACCATTGAAATAAAATGAATGCAGATAGAAATTTTTAACACATTTTTAAAATATTTTTTTTAGAAATAACTGGGTTTCTTCTCCACCAAGATGAAGTAATAGGGGTTTCCCACTTGAAACAAATAGAAACTAGGTTATTCATACTAGGGGACTTCAGAGAGTTTGTGGAAAAATGGAATTTAAGTACAAGCTAATTTTGGTGTAAAATTTTTTTGAGATACGTGTGTAATTTTTTTGAAATAGGAATTTTCCATCTACTTTTTGAAGATCTCTCTCTCTCTCACACACACACACAGACACACAATTTTTAGACTTTGTATGAAAAATAACACAGAGCTGTGATCCCATAAAGAATAATAACAAAGTGAGCTTTACACTTGCATCCTTTTACTGCATGGTAGAGATCATAGGAAGGGTATACTCAGGGGGTAGAGGGCTTGATAAATTGAAGAGAAAGACGTTCAAATACACAAAGGCCAAGGTAGCTAGAATTTGTGGGACAAAGCATCAATAATGAAGGAAAAGCTCAAGGACAGAGCTCTGGAAACCTTAGTAGAAGGGTTTCCACAAATCTTTGATGAACACTGATCTCTACAACGCATGAGAAGAAACTACCTGAGATCATGTGAAAACCACCACAGAGAGTAGAGAGAACAATTCTCAGATCTCTGGTTGACTGGGAATATGTCATGTTTTCACAATTCAAGAGAAAATAATTTGTCGTATAGCAAACATTGGGTAGAATGCTTAGAAGGGTTTTACTTTCGTTGTAGAGAGAAATTGGCTCTATGCTAAAGGCTGCTCTTAACACACTTGAATAAAGGTTAAAAACAAGTCACAAAATGATTTAATTGATTCCAAGTAACTTAACTGCATGCCAGAACAAAATCCAGTGCAAGTTAAAGGAATACTACAAAACCCAGTAAATGGCAACATAAAATTCACAATGAATGGCATCCAGCACAAAATTACCAAGTGTGCAGATAAGGAAATATGACCCTAATCAATGAAAGATAGAAACAAATTCAGAAAATAACCTCAGAAATGAAAAAGATGAAACTAGCAGAGAAGGATGTTAAAATAGTGATTATTGATACGCTCCATATGTTTGAGGAGATAGAGTAAAAGCTAAACATGATGAAGAGAGAAATAAATAGAACTTCAACAGGTGAAAAATGCTTTTTCTTAAATGGAAAATAGAGTTGAACAGGGTCAACAAGTGATTTTACTGCGTAGAAAAATAGATTGGTGAACCTTAGGTCAGAAAAACTATCCAAAATAAGATACAGAAGAAAAGAGACTTGAAACAAAAGAACAGAGAATCAGTGACTTGTGGGTCAATATCAAGTGGTCTAACATACATATAATTGGAGTCCCAGATACAGATTGGGGAGGGGGCAGAAAATTCATAAAAAAAATGGCCAGATACATTTCAAATTTTGATTATAAGCAGAAATTTTAAAAAAGGACTCAGAGAAAAAGATTTAATATTACAAGGAGATAAGGAGACGAATGATCATAGATTTCTTGTTAGAAACCATGTGAACTAAAAGACAGTTTTAAGATTATGAAAGAAATAATAACCTTGAAATTTATACTATTGATAATGTTTCAAAACAAAGGTAAACTGAAGGCTTTTTACACACACACACGCATACACATGCACACACACACACACACACACACACACACACACACTCTTGAGATAATTTGTCTCCAGAAGACTTGTAATGCAATGCTAAATTAAATTCACCAGGCAGAAAGTTCATTACTGTTACATTTTTTCCATTTATTATTCCTCTTTATAAATATCAACATTATTTCATTAATTTAATACATTTTATCATGAAATTTGCTTTATCTGAAATCAGCATTGACTTTTTTTAAATTTTTTTTATTTTTATTTTCTACATTAATTCACTATACACCATCACAACACACCAATGAATTTTCCATCCAAAATACACTGTGCATTGGTTCAATCAAGCACATCAACATACATGTTCTCAGCAAATAATTTTCCAATTCTTACATCCTGCATACCTTGCCCTTTGTCTTGCCATCCCTGATTCCCCATCCCCCACCCTCTGCTATGTCCCATCTTCCTCCTCCATTG